GGCAATGTATGGGAGAGGTGCTTACCACAGGCTGTCAAGTTCTGAATGCATACGTTAAAACAGAAAGTGAAATGTAAAAGTTTCCAAAAAATGCAAAAAAATTAAAGTCAATAGGCGTGAGAAACGAGTCAATCAAACAGACATGGATATTATGAACACTTGCTGGTAGCAGTTCTTACAGGCAGAAGTGTTTACGGGACATAACCACAGATCTTACTGTAGTGCCACACAGACTTGACCTCTGAAGGCATTTACAGAACACATCAGTGCTTCATGTTTCGTTCCAATACAACCAGAATGGCTACAGATACAGAACAGCACTGATCTTGACTGTATATAGCTGGGGCCATAAATGCTGGCACTGATGCAATGCATAAATATAAATACATACATTTATCAGCTTTTCTCCAAGTGTTAGCCGCTAAAAAGAGTTTTGGTATTTTCAAGGGCCACAAGTGATGGCATAAAGAAGTTTCCCATCAGCCAGAATCTAGTAACATGCTGCACATTCCCTTGGGGAAAGGGCCCTGAAACAGCTCGGACCACCACCTTGGCAGCTGCCCTGCACTAATGCTTTGCTCTGTACTCAGTTAACCAGCAAAATAAGAAAAAAACAATTAAAAATAAAAAATCCCTCCATCTTTTTTCCTCCTCTTCCTGTGCAAGTTCACCGCAGCAGCTCCCACAGCAATGCAGTAATTCATCCCCACAGCAGAGGCACAGGCAAGCAGGCAGCAGGGACAACATCCTGCTGCCTCCAGCAGCTGGGGACTCCTGCTGGCTCCAAAACAGGAGCAGAAGGCTTTGGCTGGAGCAAAAGGGCAGCCCCAGCTGCCCTGGGGGCAGAGGGAGACCCGAGGCTGAAATCACAGCCCCAGGCAGGCGCAGCACACTGCCCTAAGGAGCAGCATCTCATCAAGGTGGGCTGATTGAGCTGCTGACAGCCAGCCCAGCACAGCCCAGTCTCAGCTGCCACTGGGGAAGGACAGCCACTGCTCCTGCCCTGATCAGCAGGAGGGGACGGCTCGCTGCGGGGACAGGGCTGTGTGCAGGACCAGTCATTCCACCCAGGGAGGGCAACCAGCTCTGCCCTGTTTCCATGGCAATCTGGAAAGCTTTTATTTCAAGCATTTGCTGCAGGAGCACACCATAAGCAAGGTGCAATGCTGGACAGGACTCGAGACACAGTGCACAGATTAAGCAGATATTCCCTGCCAGGCGCAGCAGAGGCAGCACACAACAAAACACTCAAACACTCCTCCTCCTTTCTTCTGGGGCGTTACCTTTCCGTTGTCTTCCAGCGATGAGTTTTGAAAAAGAAAATAAACCCCAAAGAAAAACACGAGTCCTTCAAAGGCGCCCAGAAAGGTCCAGTACAGGAAGGGCCTCCACTGCAGCATTGCATTGTCCGACACCTTCCTGCCAAGAGATCAGAGACAAGACCATCACCACCACGCTGAGCAGGAGCTGCACAACTCCTCACAAGACTGGGGGGCTTTGGAGCAAGCCCTTGCAGTAGGAGACAAGGAGGGAAACCACAAAAATGCCTTCCAAGACATACAGAACACTTCTAACATGCAACTGCTGATCATGAGAAGTCACAAGAGGTTCAGCATTTGAATTGTCTTTCTCCTCTAAGTAACTTGGATGAAAAAAGCACAAAGTGAACAGAGGCAATGCTGTCCTGAACCTCTCCTGCAGCCCCTGAGCTGCCCATGGTATCTGACACTACCTGCTACATTTTAAAAGCAGGGTAAGGCTAAAGAGCAGCTGTATGGGATGCATGAAATCCACGGTGTGCTTCCCTCTTTTTGTTGAATGCACAAAGTTCTTTTTTGAGAAAAGCTCTGCAAGTCCTGTTCCCTGGTGTTTTTCTGCACTGGCTGAAAATAACCTCCTGAATTGTATGGTGGGTGTTTTTATCACAGGGGTTGTAGCAGGAGGCCCCTGGCTGAATACAGGATGAGATCTGGCATGGAGGCAGCAGCAGCAAAGGGATGGGCTATGAGCAAAGCTCTGCAGGGACCACACACAGGGCCTGGGGAGCAGAGGGTGGCTATCAGGGCAGGAGGGAGTTAAAAACAGTTCCCTGCATCATTACCTTCTCAGATTACTTTCTGTACAGTCCCCACTGTTTCTGCATTAATTCCTAAAGCAATGCATCCATTTTCAGCCAGATGCACTTTGCAAAGCTGTGTAGTGCTGGGCTGCTGTAACTGCAGTTTCTGAAATGAGATCCTACTGAAACCTACACACGCCAGTGCTGTGACCACGTTCTGCCACGGCACAACTTAGAGAAGCAAGGATAAGCCAGACTGGAAGCGTGGGGAATTGCAAAGAGAGAAAATACAAGCAGCTTCCTCCCTGTGAGCTTGTTTTGCATTCCCATTTGTGTCCTGCAGTGCTGGTGGCAAACAGGCTTTTTCCAGCCCCGGGATCTGCACTGCAGCAGCTCAGCACTTCCTCCAGCAGCAGCGCAGCGGGCGCTCTGCAGCCAGCAGCACATGCACAGCCACCAATACTCACACTAAGGCTGCTCCCCTCAAACACAGACCCCAGAGATCACAGAGCCCACCAGGGGAAGGCACAGGGGCCTGCTGTTATTGCTCTGTCACACAACATTCAATTACCAAGCTATTTAAAAATCCAGACGGTGGCATTTTGCCATGGAGCAAAGGAATATAGAGCCCTGATCAATCATGGCTCAGAGTGCTTACTTCAAAACCATCAAGCCCCTTCCCAGCCTTACAGCTCTTGTTGCATTCACTGCTTTTTCTACAACTAAGGCAATGCTGACACAGTGTTTTAGGCACCTGATAGCTCCTTTGCTGTCTGTGCACACACATCACTCTTGGCTCGAGCACAGCGTGCCACACGTGGCTCCTCTGCTGCTGAGGAGCATCACACCCAGTGACAGGGCTGGCACGGGCCACTGGCCAAAGCAGCCCCCAGCTGGCCTCTTCCACAGGGCTCAGCTGACTGCCAGGCTGGGGAATCAGCAACAGGATGCACAGAGAGGGGTTTCCTCCAAAAAACATCTTCCCCAGTCTTTGCTGAAGGGCTGCCCCAAGCACATGTGTGGGCAGGGCTGGGAGGAGGATGGAAAGCATCTCTGATTCTGTGCAAGATTGGAGCCTCTCTCTGCTGCAACCAAGGGGAGAAAACGACAACTAAAGCAGAGGGAGACAGCCTAAGCTGTCCTTTCCCTGGGCAAGGTGGCAGAAAACCATGTGTGGATCAATGGGCAGAGCTCCCTGGGCTCTGGTAAAGGGACCTGGCCTGTGAAGCCTGGGGAACACAGCCATTTATACAAGCTGAGAAACCACCTGCCTGAGCTGGGCTTCAGAAACATTCATCTTTCTGAAAATGAATGGATCTCTTTTGCTCCTGAAAGCTGCATCTCCCCTCCCTGCACTCCCTCATTACACGCTCCACCACGTGCCTGGCTCAGAGGTAACGTCAATGAATGCTCTGGCCACACTCACAGCTCCATTCTTCTTTTGGATGAATTCCACCTACAGTTTACCCTTTCACAGAGACACAGCAGTGCAGTTTGCTAGACCAGACACTGTCAGAGCATGAACAAGCAGCAGCAGGCAGTGAACACAGGGCTGCTCAGACTGAATGCAGGAATGGCAGAGCCAGGAGGGACAGAAATGGCTTTTTCTGCACTTGGAGGTGCCCCCACCCCTGACACAGGACAGGGACACCTGCTTACACTCCAGGAGAGCTCCAAGCATGGCTAAGGGCTGTGCAGAGGTGCACCCAGCCCAGCACTACTCACATGTAGAGCTGAGGGTCCGAGGTCAGCGTGTCGATGCTGATGTGCTGCTCCAGCAGGCTGTAAGCCAGGATAGGCAGCGACGTGAAGCAGATGTTGTACATGGTCAGGTAAGCAGCATCATACAGTGGCTTAGAAGGGGAAGAAAGGGTTAAATGAGCCAGACAGAAAAAGGCCTCTCCACAAAGAAATGAAACCATACATTTCCAGCACCCACATGCCCTACAGATGCCTCCCCTTGTCAGCCAGCACAGCTCCCCTGCATGGGGAGTGCAGGGGAACAAGGGGAACAAGGCACCTGCAGGCTGCATGCCCAGAACCTGCCCCTGCTGCCAGCAGGTTTGGTGACTGGCTGCTCCCATCTCCAGCTTATCCTCCAGGAAAATACGACTGACCAGCCCTCAACACAGCTCTCCCCTTGCTGCTCTTGTGCTGCTGTTTCTATTAATACATCTAATGCCTCCTGTGGCTCTCTGAAGACTAGACTGTTTTAGAAGAACTACAGCTTCTTTTCTTAAAAAAGGCAAGTGTTTCTGCCAAAACAAGCAGAGAATTCTCTCTCATCATTTACTCTTCCTGTTACTTTTGAGCCCAAATAGACACAAAAGCCCTTTAAGCTGACAGAAAAGGCAGAGCTCCTTTCTCCAAGCACAGGAACCCACCCACCATATGGATCTGCCCCTCTGATGCTTACTTGGATTAAACAAAGCTCTGGTAACACTCGTTGTGTGTCTTTTTTTTTAAGACATAAAAGAATGAACTGTTCTTCCTTCTGAGTGACATTTTTAATGCAGTGAAATGCAGGAGAGGAGACAAGATCAGGAAACCATTCAAAACTTGTTCTTGTAAGAAAAGCAGAAGTAGCAAAATCAGGTGCTGACAAACCAGCTAAAGCCTTCTCTCACTACTTCAGGAAGGAGTCCACCTGTGTTTACAGCTGGTGGATGGGAAAGAAAGCAGATTGCTTTCTTTTCAGTTATGGTCTCAAAATATTATGTTCCAGATATGGTGCTGAGCAACAAGGTCAGCTTCTACTCTCCTCTAGAGCAAGGTGGTGAAGAGACAGGATGCCAAAAGCCAAATCTCTGCTAAGAGGCCTCATTCTGCCACTTGCTTTTATCTTGCCTTTATAGACAAATTACTGGAAGTTACCTGCTGTGAGAATCCACAAAAGAACTGGTATAAAAACTGTGGTAAAATGAAGCAAAGGTTCTAGGAAAACAAAAGACAAATGGTCAGCAGGGAAGCACTTGACTTCTCAGTCTAAACCCCAGCAGTTTTTCCTGTTATCAGACATTAGTGTCTGACATTACAACATCAGACAAGGTAGGGCACTTGTTCAATCAAGCACAAAACCAATCCAGTGAGCAGTTAGCATCTGCAGGAGACACTAGAAGAATGCTCACATTCCCCTGGAAGCACTGTTTTCAATGGACAGGCACATGGCAGACACAGCCTGTCCTAGGGAAGGAAAACATAGCTTCAGAATATCCCCCAGATTTTTTTTTTCCTATTATTTTATTCTATTGCCAAAGAAATGCACAGGATAAACAAAGAAATCAGCTGCACACTGCCCCTTACCTTATAGAAGAAATACTGTACAAGGTGTGCTATTCTCACATAATATAAATGCCCATGTGCTAGTAGCAGTTTTCTTAAATGTTTGAACTTTGGCACAGCATAGTCGCTGTTTCTGGAGGCCTGGCGTCCTTCCTTGCCTTTAATCCCTGCAGACAGAAGCATGGCAAGGGGTTAATCCCACAGGGGCTGGAATCTGGGTGCTGCCCACTGGGTTTGCTCCCATCACTCAGCAGCTCAAGGCATGACAAAGGCTGAGTTTCCCCCCGAGTGCCCCAGGAGACCAACCATGAGTATTTTCTGTGTGGTTCTGGCTCCACAGCACTCAGACCTGCCTCTGGAGTTTTTAAGCTATATTTAGGCTGCTCTGTGATTTCCTGTGTAAGAGTGTGGCAAAAGGTGTCTAGGCAAACCTGATGAGAGATAAGGAATTGGTTCCCCAGTTACCCACTAATCACTGCACTGCCCCTAATCACTGCACGGCCCCTAATCACCCACTAATCACTGCACTGCCCCTAATCACTGCACTGCCCCTAATCACCCACTAATAACTGCACTGCCCCTAATCACCCATCTCTTTGCCCCTTGTGCCCCTTTCCCCTGAGCCCCAGGCAATCCCTACCACCACTATGTCACAGTTTTGGAGCATCCTCTGCAGTGATCACTGACAGGAATGGTGCCAGCACAGGTGAGCAGCAGATGATGATCTGATCTCTCTCTTCCACAATGGGGATGGTAAAACATGGGCACAGGCTGCCCAGGGAGGCTGTGCATGCTCATTCCTGGGAACATTCAAGGTCAGGCTGTGCACAGTTCTGAGGAACTTGATGGAGCTCAAGATCTCCCTGCTCACTACAGGAGTCCCTGCTCACTACCCTTTAGGAGCCCCTTCAAACCCACACTATTCCACAATTCTATGACCTAAAGCATGAATCTGGAGTTAAACTCTGCCTCCAAAGAAAGCAAAAGCAGACTTCCCACATTTTTCAGTGGGATTGGTTTAGCCACATGCAATCAGAAGCACCAATTGCACCTCAGTAGTGAACCCCAGCCAGAGCAGACAGGTCTGGCCTGTGAGATGGGTGTTTCAGGGACTCTTACCTATTCCAACATGTGCTTCCAAAATCATACTGACATCATTTGCACCATCCCCTATCGAGAGGGTTATCGGGCTTCCTTTTGTGTTCTTCACCATTCGCACAATCTAGAGGATTTTAAAAAAAGACAGCAGCAGAACCCAAAATTCAGTTAAAAAGCCTCCAGAGCCCTTCCCACTGCTCCCCCCAGGACAAGCAATCAGGCTTTTACAGCAGCAATGTAACACCTGGAGAGCTGAGGTTAATAAAAGCCCTCTTTACTTGCTTTGCAGTCACAACCAGAGCAAAAGTCCAGTCCAGCTGTGCAGGGCTGAAGGACAGTATTTAAAAACAAACCCAGCAGCAACATCCTGCTCCTCCCTTCTGCCAGACCCTGTTCTCCCAAAGGTGGGTTCTCACACATGTCAGGGTGCAGAAACATGTCACTTATCAGGTTGGGACATCATCTGCTGGAATGAGGAAGTCACGGACTCCACATTACAAATTTGGAAAGGAAAACCAAAAAAAGAGCAGACTGGGAGGTTTTGTTTCTTTCTAACTGGCCTGGGTTTATGGGTTCCTGCCAGCATATCAAACAAAGGGTTTGCATTCAGAGTTGAAAGAATGCTGTGCTTTCATCACGCCCCGAAGCTCAGACGAGGCTCACACGTAGCCTGGAGAATCCTGCCTGACTGGGATGCTGAGGTGCAGCCCCAGCTGGTGCACTCAGCTGTGGCAGCAGGCAGTGCTCGGGCAGGGGGAGGTGAATAAATACCTGTGCTTTCTGCAGAGGAGCCATCCGGCAGCACAGCACGGCAGTGCACTTCAAGCAGATCTGCAGGAAGATGCTTTTGTAGTTGCTGGAGCCAGAGTCCTGAGAGGGGTTGAGGATCAGCGACAGCGTGGAGCCATCTATGATCAGTCCATACTCCTGACTCAACGTCCAGCTTCTGGCACAAGGAACACGTGTCACACTTAACCAGGCTAAACCTAGCTGCTTGTATCATCTTGGTGAAAAAAACTGGCTTTGGGTTAATCTTCTTCCCACCCATTTGTCGGGGCGTAGCAATTTTAAAAAGCTTAGACTTGGCACGTGCCCTTCACTAAAGGAATGGTGCAATAAAGCTCAAAGCCAACAATACCAGAGGTGATGAGCAAAGTAAAGGAACCTCTCACAGTGTCTGCAAGGAACCAGTCCCTGGGGCCACGGCACAGCCCTGCTTCCCCACCAAATCTGCACCTGAAACGTGCAAGGCTGGGTCCCCTGGCTCACTCACCTCTTCAGGCCCCCCCGGTTTTTGGGGATGTCCTGAATCAGCTTTTTGTGGTACTCCAGCAGCAGCTCATGGAGCCGATCCTCCTTCCTTTCGCTCTCGCCCACCGTCCTGGCCGTCAGCTCCAGCAGCTCCGTGCTGGTCTGGAAGAGCCTGCAGGCGTAGCAGGTGGATTTGGCAGTTTCCATCTTGTCTCCTGTCAGCACCCACACCTTCATGCCAGCGGCGTGCAGGGCTTCGATGGTCTCTGCCAGCTGCTCCTGCAGCCTGTGAGAGGAAGCAAAGCATCACTGCCCCTCATCCACACAGCCCAGAGCCTGTTCTGCACTGCAAACACCAGCTCAAGAGAAGCCAATTGACTTTTCCCATGCTGGGGAGGCCACTGCCACGGGAATATGGACTACCAGTCAGCAATACCAAACTTCTGTTTGCAGGCTAAAAGAGAAATCACTGCTTTACACTCTTGACTCTTAGAGGCCTCACAGTAAGAGTTTAATTTACACTTGCAGTTACTATAACTGAATGTGGAATTGAATTTGTTTTGATGTGCAAATTAATGCTGTGCTTAATTCACTCTCCAGAAGCGCAAGTATTTCTGTAGTTTCATTAATAAATCTCAATTCCTACTACACCAGCCAATTTAAGCAACTAGGGCACTGTGAAATGGGTTGTGCCATGGTGTAATTAATTGCCCTGGACACTGCCAGCATCTGCCTGGCTGTTCAGCTCTACCACGGTGAGTCCAGACCACAAGTTCACAGCACAGAGAAACCACAGGGCAGGTGGTGGAGTCACCTCCTTACCTGTCTTCTACAGCAGTAGCCCCAATCAGGTGCATGTCTGCTTCTGTGTCATCAAAAACCTTGGCCATCTTCTCCTCCCTGTCCTGCAGAGCCATCTTGGCTTCATTGAGCTGTCTGTCAATTCTGTCATACTCCTTCTCAGTCAGTTCTTTGAAGGCCACGCAGAGCGTTCTGTAGCCGTCCTGGCAGCAGGAGGGATACAAAACAAAGTGGACAAATGCCTTAAATCCAGATTTTTTACAGCTCCTCACTTCAGGGTTGATGCTTTTGTCTGCCATCAATGCTTCTGGCAGTACTGACCCTGATGGCAAGGATAATTTGTTGGCTTGTGTCAAAAGAGCAATTTTCTGCGTTTAAACAGAGTAATCGTGGTTCTGATTCTTATGGACAGAAAGAAACCAAGAGAAGGAGCAGGGCAGGGAGCATGCAGCCAGCAGGGAGAGCAGGACTGGGCCCACCACGACTGGGACCAGGCTGCTGATGCTGCTTCTATTTTTAACTTGCCTGGGAGATCCTTGGAGACCATATAAGTATATCAAATAAAGGTGGAAGCCAACCAAACAGAAAAGGAAAGAAGCCTGGCATCAAAACAATGTGAAGGGACACTCAGATTTTCAACACTTCTCTCCAAAGCAAGGTCCCATCCCTATTTTTGGAATAAGGCTTTCCTGCCCCCAGGAGCCAGCCAGATTCCATCCGTGTGCTCACCATAGCATTGCGGTCCACATGGACTTTTGTTTGTTGGATTTCTTCTTGCTGCACCCTTGGAAAAATAGAGGAGTCTGCTCCTTTACAGAAGAGAAGCAACTTTCCTAAAAGCAAATGATAAATAATTTATAGCACTCACAAGCTGCAGAAAGAGTTAACAAAAGAGCAAGCAAGTGATGCAGAGAGAGGAAGTCTGGGAGATCTAAAGAGGGAACTGCCAGAAACCCAAGTGCTACCAAAAATGGCCTTTGACCAGCCTGTGAAACGCCTCAGGTTGAGACTCTGGGTGTCCCTGCCAGCCTCTGAGCAAGTTTTCTGCAACAGGCTGGGCATTGTATCTGTAAGCCTTGGCAACCTTTGCAGGGAGGGCAAAACAGCATCCCAAACCTTACGGGACTGGCACTGGAGAAGGATGGTGACCCAATTGTTGTCTGCTATTCCCATGAAACCCATCCCACCCAGGGGACATTCTCACATGTCTCCCCTGTACTTGTTCCAGCCTGCAGCAAGGCAGGCAGGGAGCTCTCCATGGGTCCCTGCTCTCGTTCTCTGATCTGCTCCTGGTCCCAAACAGCCGCCACGAAGGAAAATGAACTCTAAGCAGCCAGTGCCAGTACAGAATTTAGTCAGACCAGCCCAGAAACCTCAGAGCTCAGCTTGTGTGGGTGCCAGCACAGGAGGCTGTGCTGACAGCCGAGCACAGAGGTGTGAGAGCCCCAGCAGCACTCTGCCTGTACCTGTGCTGGCTCTCACAATGACGCTCATACGGCGCCGCACAGGGTCGAAGTTCAACACGTGCAGAAGCTGGTACCTGCAGAGAAAGAGAAAAAGGCTTTGACTCAGTAAAGGAAAAATAGAAAAATAATTGTTTGAGACAGAAAATCACTAACAATGAGCTGCAGAAATCAATACACCCTGCAAGTGGCATCAGCCACCTGGGAATGAATTTTACAGCTACTGCACAAGAAAATGGAGGGAAAAAGCCTGGATTCCAGCAGTCCTGTGGTGCTCTGAGCATGGGCTGAGGGTGTGGGTACCCACCAGTGCTCCGAGCCCCCAGGCTGGGCAGGGGCTCAGCAGGGAATGGGGCACCACGTGCCTCAAGCAGTAACACTGAGGCTCCCATGCAAATAAGCAGTTTCTTCAAGAAGGAAGAAGTGAAACTGGCTTGTGAGGGCAAGTTTTCAGGGAGTGCTGGGATTGGGTCAGTGACTCACAGACGTCTCCAAGCTGTGAGCACAGGGTAAAATTTAGCTATTCTCAGCTTGGGAGGGGAAGGAAAGGTTACAGGGAATGGAGCTGTGTCACGAGTTCAGGCTCACAGCATCCTGCTGTGAGCCCCAGCCACAGCCCACAAGGTCAGCAGCCACCTCAGGAATCCCAGGAGCCACCTGCACAGCCTGGGGCAGATGAAGGATACAAACAAAGGACTGCAGGCTCTTCAGGGACCTGAATTTAGACATCAGAAAACCACCCGTGGATTTTTGCAAGTGACTCTTTTTGCCCACACCTTGGTGTGCTGTGCTTTGTAAATGGGACAGGAGTTTTAGGGCAGGTCAGCACAGCCTGACTGCCCCCAAGGAACAGCTCTGACCTTGCCAGGGTGACCAAACCCAATTAAGGTGGGTGGGAGTGGTGCAGAAGAGCAGCCCTGTTCCTCAGCAGCCCCAGCAGCACTTACATCTCAGTTTCATTCTTTTGGTTTCGTATTTTCATGAAATTGTTTTCAAGTCCTAGAAAAGTGAAACCATACCTGTCAATAAACAAAAGGACAGAAGAGCATTGAAAACACCCATTGGCACACATTACACACAACAATGTTCTCGTTTCACCTCCTGCACTGCAGAGCAGAGCTGGGGGAGCCCGAGCGAAGGAGCACGGCTGGATGTTTGTTTGCTCCATGCAGAGCCTGCTGTGATGTGCTGGCACTGCTCCCATCCCCTGGAGAGCCTGGGCACTGGAGCACACAGACACAGACAGCCTCTGGACAAGGTCCACGGGCTGCTGGCAGCTTTACAAGCCATGAGCAAGTGTACAGAGCTGCAACAGCCTCCACCTAAACCCAGGGGCTGGTGAGAGCACAGAATCACCAAATGGTTTGGGCTGGAGAGATCACCCAGTCCCCAGCCCATGGGCAGGGACAGGCTGCTCAAAGCCCCACCCAGCCTGCCCTCAAGCATCTCTGGCAGCATTCAAATGTGGGGTTGACAGAAGTAACTGCCCTATTATTTTGCCACTGCATGGCAAGGAAAAAACTTCATTGCAATATGCACATGGCAGCTGGTTTCTGTTTCTAGGGGATTAAAGCACAAAGCCATGTGGGCTCCAGCAAAGAAACCTCTGCCACACCTGGGCACTGCAGCACCCTGGGGCTGCTCTCAGTGAATGCACACCATGGTTTCCCAGGGACCTGCTCAGGGAAGATCCTTTACAGAGATCCCTTTGACAGGGAGCTCATTTAAACTCACAGGCTCACAGCACTGCAGGTTCAGCAGTGGTACCACAACATGCTTCCCAGAGAGCAGTGGAAAGGGATCTATCACCTTCAGATCACCCTCACCTCCCTCCTTCCCATCAGAGAGGGAATTAAAAAGCCAAATGTCACACTCTTACTTTTCTGCGCCTTTCACCAAGGCGATTTCGTCCGGGGAGGAGGAGATATAGGTGTGTCTGCGCTCTGGGTGTGCCAGCAGCCCGTCCAGCTGGTCTGCCTCCTTGATCTGCACCGTGTGGCACAGGCACAGGGCTCTCAGGAACAGCTCCTCGCGGCTCTGGGCAGGACAAGGGAGGGAGGGAGTTACAGCTGCACGCCACCCCCCCGACAGCATCAGCACACACCCCTCACCTTTTCAGCTCTGCCGTAGTATTTGAGGGGCCCGTCGGGCTGGGAGAAGCCGTCCAGCTCCGAGGTGCAGTCCCTGTACTTGTGCCCGTCGATGCAGCACTCGATGAACTCCATGCTGTTCTCGGTCAGCGTGCCCGTTTTGTCTGTGAACACGTACTCCACCTGCAAGCACGGGCAGCTGCCACAGGGGCTGGGCAAGGGCTGCAGAACAGAGCCTGGGCATCCCAGGGCCTCTGTGCCAGTGCTGCAGGGCACCTGCTATCCTGACCCGACTGCAGAACAGGCGCAGCTGCCCCACTGCATCACTCTGCAGTCCTGCCACTTTGCTGCTCTGCTTTTCAGCCTGTTGCACAGGTGGCAGGAGGCAGCTGCTGAAGACTTAAAATCTGTCTCCAGGCTCTTCATCTTCCCGTCATTCACTTTCTTGGGTCCTTTGCTATAGTCCTAGTGCCTACAGAACTGCTGCTGCAGGTCTGCTGCCTCCTTTGGGGATTTTCACCTATGAGCTGTATTTCAATCAGCTAATTGCTACTCCAAGTGCATTTTTACTATTGTTTTTAAAGCAAAATCAAAAGCAGGAGGCACTGTACATGCCCTGCACTCATCTCTCCCACTGCAGAGCAGAAAGGGAAGCCTGAGCTGTCTCTGTGCCCCAGCGAGGCAGCAGCAGCACACTGCACGTGCTCTGCATGCCCAGGGAGACAACTGGGCAGACATTTGTCACTAATCCTCAAGGAGACAAGAGGATTTTTAATTTTTAATTGAAGCAGTGAAAGCAAAGCACCCTGACACGCAGAGCGCTGCGCCTCACGTTCCCCAAAATGGAAACAATCGGCGTGACCCAATTCCTGCTCTTTCATGCACTATTTATAACCTTATCTGGCTGGCAGAGCCAGTGGAATCTCATCAAATGGAAAGTGCCACCAGAGCTCTGGGTGAAGCCCTGGCCCGAGGGGACGGCCAGGGATTGCCACAGCCAGGGCTCCTTGCAGGGAGGGCACCTCCAGCCACACTTTGATTTCACTTTGAGAGAAATGCACACACTGCACGTTCTGACCTGCCCCAGCTCCTCGTTCAGGTCCGAGGTATTCACCAGTGCTCCCTCCTGGATCTCCTCATCAAACATCTCCTTGTCCCAGGAGATGAAGAAGGAGCCCAGGAACTTCTGCATCTCCACGGTGACGTACATGGAGACGGGGATAATGAAATTGAAGAGGACCATAAAGGACAGGAAATCCGTGAACATCCGCAGGACCTGCAAAGGAAAGAGGAGAAGGTGCAGCCTGTGCCTGTCAGGACACAGGGGCACTTTGCAGAAACACCTCAGGGATTCGGGACAGCTTTGCAGGAAAGGTGAAATAGGAAAAAACAACGTGAAAATGAGTACAGCTGAGATACAGGGCTAAATCCCATTTTCCTTTGGCACAGAAAATCCCCCTGTCTTCTGCAGAGGTACCAGGCACACACCTCACTGCTTCACAGTGACCAGAACAATGTTTCATAAGCTGATTCCTCTCAAGAATATACTGCTACAGGCTCATGCTGACCCCAAGTAACCAGAAAAAAGGAGCAGGTGGCTGGAGACCAGTCAGGCTGTGGCAAGGGTACAAGGGTGCAGTGACATCCCTGTACATAACCCATCAACTCAACAACCCATCAGTGAAGATCTCTACACACCTACATCACTCTCAGCCTGACTGCCCACGTCTGGGCAGGTTTAACAAGCTGGCTGACATGGCCTCAATTCAAGTTTACCTACTCAAAGCTGTTAGATATCCTTAGTTCAGATAAGGACCCAGGTTACATCAGCTGCATTTCTATGTTCTATAGTATTTATTTATGCTTTCCCCTGTTCCACACAAATATCACAGTGCACAAGCATGAGAGAGGCACAAAAGAAACACAAACAGCAGGAGAGACCAAAGGAAACAACAGCACTTTCTGTGAGCAAACAGGACTCCCAGGGCTGGCAGCAGGCACCATCAGATTAAACCAAACAGCCAGAGTGAGTAAAGCTGGAGGAGGTGCTGAAATACAAATCCACTTACCTTGAACGTGTCTCTCTCTTTTTTAGTCTTTTCATTGTACCAAGGCTCATCATTGAATGGATTACTCTGCCAGACGTATTTCAGAGTCGTGCACACTGTGGCCTTGCCCAGTAAGATGCACAAATACACTATCAAGAAAGCGTTGATGGATCTGAAAAATAGGTTTCCTTTTTAAGTTCTTGCAGCTGTTTTTATAGAGAAAAACATGTAAATAGTCAGGAACAAGATATCTTTACTTTTAAGAAAGCAATTACAGAACAAGTGCCTTTGACACTGCTGATATTCAGTGTCAGGTTCATATATTTAAACATTTCTTAATTTTGTTTTTAAATAAAAGAGCTACCAAAGGATGCTGTTTCTAGCAAGATATGCTTTTGCAAATTTCCAGATTTTTCTATGCAATCAGAGAGCATCTGGAACAAAAGGCAGCAGATTAGGGGATTACTTCTCTACAAGTCATCCATTAAAAACAAACCCAAACCCAACAGGTTTTACCGTTTTTTTCCTGAACATAAATACTCACTTCTCTACTGCAGAGCGTTTCTGAGATTTCCCTTGGTAGTTCAGAGCCATTTTTGTTTCCATCCCAGTGTAGACTGCAACTCCTGCAGGTACCAAAGCAGGGCTCATGAGGGACCCAGCTGGCACTGGGCCATCGGGGCAGTGGTGTTTACACCAAACGTGGTCCCAGCTGGAGGAGGAGGCACCACCCAGGGCTGCTCCACTCCACAAACCTCCCAGGCTGCAGAGCAATGTCCCTGCTGTGGCCCAGAGCAGGAGCCCCTGGATCCTCCGAGTCAGGAAGAGCATCGGGCTCCCAGCACA